GTAGTCCCAGCTACTCGGGAGGCTGAGGCAGGAGAATCGCTTGAACCTGGGAGGCAGAAGTTGTGCTGAGCCAAGATCGTGCCACTGCACTCCAGCCTGGGTGACAGCAACACATTGTCTCAAAAAAGTTAAATAAAATAAATAGGAAGTTCTCATTCTGTTTCTGGTGGGCAGTGCTGCTGTGGATGATCAACTTTCTGGCTAGACCATGAGCTTGGTGAAGATGAGTTGATCTTGGTTGCCATCATCCTTCCCATCATCCTCTGATCATCCTTCTCCATCATCTGTGCCTTCATCCTTCCCATCATCCTTCATCATCCTTCTCCATCATTCTTGCCATCGTCCTTCCCATCGTCCTTCTCCATCATAATTCCTGTCATCCTTCTCTGTCATCCTTCCCACCATCCTTCCCGCCATCCTTCCGACCATCCTTCCCACCATCCTTCCCACCATCCTTCCCATCATCCTTCTCCATCATCCTTCTCCATCATCCTTCCCATCATCCTTCCCATCATCCTTCTCCATCATCCTTCTCCATCATAATTCCTGTCATCCTTCTCTGTCATCCTTCCCACCATCCTTCCCATCATCCTTCTCCATCATCCTTCCCATCATTCTTCCCATCATCCTTCTCCATCATCATTCCTATCATCCTTCTCTGTCATCCTTCCGACCATCCTTCCCACCATCCTTCTCCATTATCCTTCTACACCATCCTTCCCATCATCCTTCCCACCATCCTTCCCATCATCCTTCCCGTCATCCTTCCCATCATCCTTCTCCATCATCCTTCTCCATCATCCTTCTCCATTATCCTTCTCCACGATCCTTCCCATCATCCTTCCCACCATCCTTCCCATCATCCTTCTCCATCATCCTTCCTTCCAGTTATCCTTTCTGTCAACCATCCCCATCATCCTTCCCAGCATGTGATGCCCTCTCCCGGCACCGCCCACGTTTTGCTCTCCCAGATGTCAGCAGAGGGCGCATGTGAGCTCTGATTGGGACACGTCCCTGCCCACAGCTTTCACGTGGCCCAAGTCCCGGCAGTTACTCCTGTTACTGCCCGAGACCGTTGTTACTGCAGTTACTCCTGTTACTGCCCGAGACCGTTGTTACTGCAGTTACTCCTGTTACTGCTTGAGAGGGTCATAAGACTGAAGGAAGGGACGAAGTTGAAAACGATAACAAGAAACAAAAGAAACTTTTAAATAGAAATGAAAACTTAAGACAAAAGAAACTTTTAAAGGAAGGGCAACATGGGGAAGAAGAAAAGAGAAGAAAAGAGAGAAGAAGGGGCCGGGTGCCATGGCTCACGCCTGTGATCCCAGCACTTTGGGAGGCCGAGGCGGGAGGATCACGAGGTTGGGAGATTGAGACCAGTCTGAGAAACACGGAGAAACCCCATCTCTACTAAAAATAGAAAATTCGCCAGGCGTGGGGGCACATGCCTCTGATCCCAGCTACTCGGGAGGCTGAGGCAGGAGGATCCCTTGAACCCAGGAGGCGGAGGTTGTGGTGAGCCAAGATCGCGCCACTGCACTCCAGCCTGGGCGACAGGAGTGAAACTGCATCAAAAAAAAAAAAAAAAGGAAGAAGAAGAGAAAAGGGCTCCCTGATCTTAATGAGCAAAGGCTGCTTCTTGAGCTTCTACAGCCCTTTGTATTTATTGGGTAACAAGAGCAGGGAGGAGGAGGTAAGGATTGATCAGCTGTTTAATTGATCCCAGGTTCATGTTGTTACTGGCAGGCTTCAGTTATGCCTAATCATAAGAAATACTCGTGCCTGGATGGTGACGCCCTCGGCAGCCCTTCTGCGCAGCAGATGCAGTGTGTCAGTTTGCCAACATTCTGCATTTGTGAAACAGTTTGCTGTTTACTCCTATAGCCCCCAGTGCTGTACTGAGTTGATTACGGCCCTCATTCTTTCGGCCTCTAACACGCCCCTTCGCCCACGTTTTCTCCATAGCGTCGTGCCCTCTGCACTCACGTAAGTTGCACTTACCTGCCTGCCTGTCTCGAGGGAAAGGGAGGATGAGGAACTTGTGTGTTCTGTCCCCTCCCGTTTTCCCAGCACCTGAGCAGGGCCTGGCCCCAAATAAACACTGGCTGAATTCCTATTTCTAGCAAGAACAAGGGTCTCGGGATCACCTACAGCGTCACCTTCCAGGACACCGAGCAGGGCAGTGACGTCCCTCGCCTGCAGCCGGCAGCTGGGCAGGTGGACGTGGGACCGGCGCCCGGCCTCTCATCCAGTCCAGCCTCCCTTTTTTCACTGTTGGGATTTAGTCTCTTCTGTCGAACAGACAGGATTCAAATCAGGGCTTCTCTGCATGTGCGTTGAATTCATTTGCATCTCATTTGCAAGCTCTTTGCTTGGCAGTTGAGACAAGCTCCAAGCTGAAGACAGAGGTGATAGAATCTGGTACGATAGGATCAGAAGGGGACCGGAGGCTGGAGGGGTCCCAGCTCGGCCCTCAGCGTCCTCACAGCAACACACTGTTGGCTTGGCCGGCTTCCTGTCCTGTCCTCCCTGTGTTAGCTTTTAGTTCCACCCCACGTAAAATGGGGAGACGGAGGCCGGTGGGGCCAGTCCTGGCTGGAACCTGGTTGTAGGGGTCTGACAGCCCATGTCACAGAGGGGAAACTGAGTCAATCGGGGCCGAGTCCCGGCTGGAACCAAGGTCTCTGGCTGGCTGCCCTTCGTGGCTGTCTGCTGTGGCCTGGACCTGGTGACACGGATGTGAGGAGGGATGGAGCTGGGGGAAGAAGTTCTAGGCTCTCGTCTCCTCTGTCTCTCTAGCCCTGGCCCTGCACTTCTGGCTGAGTGGTGTTGACTGGCCGAGGGATTTGGGGTCTTTCCCCCCCTCCCTTCTCAGCACCCATTCCTGCTGTGTCTCTGGAGTTTGTGCTGCCTCTGGAAACAAGCGAACGGTGTGTCCAGGGCTGGGCGGTGACAGGGCCTGTGGGCTGGGGGCGCTCGTGACCGAGGAAGGAGCCAGTGAGGGTTGGTTCGCTGGCAGAGGCATCTCAGGTGGAGAGAGCTCAGGCAGAGGCCAAGGTGGGGACCGTCTTAGGGGCTCGAGGGAGAGCCAGCAGGCCCGGATGGCCAGAGTAGAGCAGCAAAGGGGACAGGAACAGGATGAGAGGGCAGGGGGAGGTGGGGACAAGGCCATGGAGGGCCTGTGTGCCACGGTGAGCGTTCGGGTTTTATACTGAGGGCTGCAGGGATCCATACGATAATTTTTTTTTTTTTTTGAGATGGAGTCTTTGCTCTGTCGCCCAGGCTGGAGTGCAGTGGTGCGAACTCGGCTCACTACAAGCTCCGCCTCCCGGGTTTACGCCATTCTCCTGCCTCAGCCTCCCGAGTAGCTGGGACTACAGGCGCCCACCACCTCGCCCGGCTAGTTTTTTGTACTTTTAGTAGAGACAGGGTTTCACCGTCTTAGCCAGGATGGTCTTGATCTCCTGACCTTGTGATCCGCCTGTCTCGGCCTCCCAAAGTGCTGGGATTACAGGCGTGAGCCACCGCGCCCCACCCCATACGATAATTCTAAGTGTTTCCAGAAAGTTGCTCTGGGATGAGAACCCAGAAGCACTGAGCCCGAAGCTTTGATATTAAATCTGAGTCCGAGAACCCTGGGTTCAAGTCCTGGATCCCCTGATGAGTTACTGAGGGACTCAGTGCATGTTACTGTCTCCCAGAGCCTCAGTTTCCCCATCTGTAACAACAGATTAGGGTTTGTGGCAGTGCCTCCCTCACCGAGATGCTGTGATAACGAGACAAGAAGATGCCTGCAGGGCGGGGGGTGGTGGGTCACTCCTGTAATCCCAGCACTCTGGGAGGCTGAGGCAGGTGGATTATCTGAGGTCAGAAGTTCGAGACCAGCCCGGTCAACCAACCTGACTCTACTGAAAATAGAGTCAGGTTGTCCCAGCTACTCCGGAGGCTGAGACAGGAGAATGGCTTAAACCCAGGAGGCGGAGGTTGCAGTGAGCTGAGATGGTGCCACTACACTCCAGCTTGGGCGACAGAGTGAGACTCCGTCTCAAAAAAAAAAATTACACTGCAAAAGGCTCCAAAAAATACAGAAACGAACAAGGAAGAGATGGGAACGTGCCTCCCATTTGGCAGTTTTCTGAGCCTCTTCTTGGAGCCTCACACAGTGGTCACCTTCAGTGAATCAAAATCCATAGCGGTTTAAATCCCGCAGACTTCTGGAGGCAGTGAGGACGGCTCTCACCTCCCCTCTGTCCTCGCCGCTGCCCCAGGGCCTGTGCACAGGTGTCCCTCACGCTGATGTGCGCTCCTCAGAGGTCTCTGCACGCTGCCTCCTCACCTGCTTGGGGACTGTTCCGTTTTACCTTCTCCGCGGGGCTCGCCTGCACCCACACTGCCACCCTGAACCCCAAACCCATCTGCGTTTTCAGTCACACTCAGTGCCTCTCATACACCAGACTGTGTTCACTTATCACATTTACTGACGACTTTCTCTCTCCCATCTTGAGAACATCTCCTTCTTTTCTGTCTGTTCCTGTCCAGTTCTCACCACCCCAAGCAGAGACTGGTATACAGTAGGCGCCCAGTACGTGCTTATGGGAGGAATGAGTGACAGGATGAAGCAGCGAATGCTTCTTGGCTCAGAGTTGCAACTCCCAGAGTTGTGAACTTGCTGTATGACCTTGGGCCGTGCCTCAGTTTCCCCAGGTGTAGAAATGGGGGCACGCCGCCCATGACCCCGCCAGTCCCTCCTGCTGTGAGGCTGTGGGTGTCATGTTTGCAGGTCTAGTTCCCTGGGGCCGGCGCTGGCCCCAGTTGCCCAGCTCTGCCGGCTCCCGGGAGACACATTCTGCTGACACCGGACTCTTTCCTGGACTGTCCAGCCGCCTGGCCGACACTCGATCCCGGCCCCACTTCCAGGCCAGTGTCCGGCCGACCAGCCTGCCTCAGGCCAGGGCCCCACGACTCCCTGCAGTGGGACAAGGGGCTGTCTGTGCAGCTGTGGTCGTGGGAGGGTGTGGTGAGGCCGTGAAGGTGGGGACGGTGCCTAGGCCTGTGGCCGCCAGAGCTGCTGAGGCTCAGGAAGTAGCACCAGGCCCCGTGGGTGCTGCCGGGGCCATCGTCTGCCCACCATGGGGACCCTCAGCTGCGACCCCGCCCCACGGTTGGCCACAGCCCCCCTTGGCCGGCGAGTGACGGAGGGCATGATTCCGGAGACCGGCCTGAGGAAGTCCTGTGGGACGGCCACCCTGGAGAACGGTGCGTGCCAGCCACGGGGGACAGGTGGGACCCTTTCCTGCTCCATTCCCCCCACTTCTGGGGCTTCTGGAATGTTCTGGGAGCCCAGCAGGAGGCAAGAGTTTCAGGCAAGTCTTTGCCTTTCCCCAAACCTCAGTTTTCCTTCCGGCAGGATGGGTGTGGACACGGGGTTGCCATGGGCCCCGAGTATGTTTCTGTCCAACGGAAGCTGAGTGTTTTGTGGGCCGGGCCCTTTCCAGGGGCTGTGGGTACAGCAGGGGGCAAAGCCACAGCGATCATGCGGGAGACGTGGGGAGGAGGGAACGTTTCCAGCGTGGCCCTCGGGGATGGGCGCCGTTGACAACGCGGGGCAGGGCAAGGGGCACGTGTGCGGAGGCTGCTCTGCTGGGAACCACGTCAGCTGCCGGCCTCAGTGAGGGCCCGGGCCGGGCCGCAGTTTCCTCACCACAACGAGCAGCTGGAGTCAAGCCCGGAGCCAGGTCCTCGGGCTGGTTCTGTGGTCTCTCCTGACCCCTGTGGCAATGAGATTCCGCAGAAGCCACAACACGTGGCATCTGTGACCGTGTAGCTCTGGGAGGCTCAGGCCTCAGTTTCCCCATCTGTGACTGTGTAGCTCTGCCTGGGCCTCAGTCTCCCATCTCTGTGTGGCATCTCTGTGCCTGGGCCTCAGTTTCCCCATCTGTGACCATGTATCTCTGGGAGGCTCAGGCCTCAGTTTCCCCATCTGTGACTGTGTATCTCTGCCTGGGCCTCAGTTTCCCCACCTCTGTATCTCTGTGCACCCCAGGCCTCAGTTTCCCCACCTCTGTGTATCTCTGTGCCTGGGCCTCAGTTTCCCCATTTGTGACCATGTATCTCTGGGAGGCTCAGGCCTCAGTTTCCCCATCTGTGACTGTGTAGCTCTGCCTGGGCCTCAGTCTCATACTGTGTATCTCTGGGAGGCTCAGGCCCCAGTTTCCCCATCTGTGACTGTGTATCACTGCCTGGGCCTCAGTTTCCCCATCTGTGACTGTATCTCTGCCTGGGCCTCAGTTTCCCCATCTGTGACTGTATCTCTGCCTGGGTCTTAGTTTCCCCATTTGTGACCATGTATCTCTGGGAGGCTCAGGCCTCAGTTTCTCCATCTGTGACCGTGTAGCTCTGCCTGGGCCTCATCTCCCCATCTGTGAACGTGTATCTCTGGGAGGCTCAGGCCCCAGTCTCCCCATCTGTGCCCCACGGTGAGAGGCGCTGCTGTTCCCCAGCCCTTCCCTCCCCAGCCCTTCCCTCCCCTTCCCTCCCCAGACCTTCCCTCCCCTGCCCTTCCCTCTGTGATTCATGTCTGACTCACAATGCAGGCATCATATTTTGTCTCCAGAGGGGCAGCAGCCTCTTGCTCCTGGGGCCCCCAATCCTCACCGTGGAGGGAGAGGGGAACCCAGGCTAAGGCTCAGGAGCTGGGTCCAGGGCTCCTTCCTTGGGGAATCTGGACCCAGGTGGTGACCTGAGGGCTTTGGGCTGCAGGCTCAGGGCCAGGCTTGTACGTCCTGCCGTCCACCGTGGGCTTCATCAACCACGACTGCACCAGGGTGGCCAGTCCCGCCTACTCACTCGTCCGGAGGCCCAGTGAGGGTAAGGTGGGCGGGTGGGCGGCTGGGGGCTTCCCTGATCCTCCAACGTCCCCCCGGGGCACCGATGGGTCTCCTTACCCCTTAGATCCAGTCCCCCAGTTAGCATGGCAGGAAGCAGGCAGGGCCGGGCTCTACGACTTGCTCCACCTCCTACTTGCTGTGAGACCTCAGGCAAGCTGCTGTCCCTGTTTTTTCACTGATAAAGAGAATGGAAGGAGAAAGAGCGTTGTAGGGAGGTGAAGACCTGTACCTGCCTTCCCGCGTTTGCAATTCCTTGCTGCTTGGCCTCAGGCAAGTTGCTTAAGTGCTCTGCAACTCAGTTTCTGTTAAAAGTTAACAATACGAGGCCGGGCGCGGTGGCTCACGCCTGTAATCCCAGCACTTAGGGAGGCCGAGGCAGGCAGATCACGAGGTCAGGACATCGAGACCATCCTGGCTAACACAGTGAAACCCCGTCTCTACTAAAAATACAAAAATTAGCCGGGCGAGGTGGCGAGCGCCTGTAGTCCCAGCTACTCGGGAGGCTGAGGCAGGAGAATGGCATTAACCCAGGAGGCAGAGCTTGCAGTGAGCCGAGATCGCACCACTGCACTCCATCCTGGGCGACAGAGTGAGACTCCGTCTCAAAAAAAGAAAAAAAAAAGTAGCTGCAAAGCTGGGTGTGGTACTGTGCGCCTGTGGTCTCACCTGCTGGGGAGGCCCAGGCCGGAGGATCACTTAAACCAGGAGGTCGAGGCTGCCGTGAGCTACGATCACACCACTGCACTCCAGCCTGGGCGACAGAGTGAGACCTCGTCTTAAAACAAATTTTAAAAAAAGAAAAAATAGTAGCCACAGTGATGCATAGCGATTAGTAAGGACTCAGTAAACGCGAGATGTCGGGTGTGAGGCTGAGCCCGTTTTTCCACCATGAAGGTGGGGGCTCCCCAGGCCTGGCCCATCTCACAGGGCTGTCGTGTATCTCTGTGGACATTCCTGGCTGCTTGTGCAGGCAGCACGGCAGGAGGGCAGCACGGCAGGAGGGCAGCACGGCGGGAGGGCAGGCAAGGAGCGCACTGGCTCGCTGTGCCACGGGCTGGTAGCCTTGCCGTGTGGTGCTCGCTCCTGTCTAGAATGGGTGCAGTGGCTGCGATGGGCTCTGACAGAGTGACGTGGCTCAGGCGTGGACCACACCTGGTGCACAGGGAGCTGCTGGTGTGCATTAGTGGTGCTGCTACCACGGGCCAGCGGATCTCAGTGCTCCCAAATTCCATCCCTCCATCAGCGCTCCCAAATTCCATCCCTCTTAGTGGTGCTGCTACCACGGGCCAGCTGGATCTCAGTGCTCCCACCCATCCTCCACTGCCTCCCAAACCCATCCCTCCATCAGCTTCCCACCCATCCTCCATCAGCGCTGCTCCCAAATTCCATCCCTCCATTTTCTACCACTGCTCCAAGGTCCTAGCTGGGCTGGGAGTGTGGTCGGAAGGGTCTTGTGTGGGGAGTTTGGTTCATATGGACAGAGGCCTGCTGGGAGGGTCGGCTGGAGGAGGGGCAGGACAGCAGCCTGTTCTCAGCCTTCTGAATGAGCAAAAATCCCAGACCACACTGGGACTCAGGAAGCTGCAAGGGGTCCCAGAAGGCCAGTGAAGGCGTCAGCATCCCCTGTCCCCAGGACTGGGTTAAGAACTTAGCCTGGCCGGGCGCAGTGGCTCACGCCTGTAATCCCAGCACTTTGGGAGGCCGAGGCGGGCGGATCACAAGGTCAGGAGATCGAGACCACGGTGAAACCCCGTCTCTACTAAAAAATAGAAAAAAATTAGCCGGGCGCAGTGGCGGGCGCCTGTAGTCCCAGCTACTCGGGAGACTGAGGCAGGAGAATGGTGTGAACCCGGGAGGCGGAGCTTGCAGTGAGCCGAGATTGCGCCACTGCACTCCAGCCTGGGCGACAGAGCGAGACTCCGTCTCAAAAAAAAAAAAAAAAGAACTTAGCCTGTGACCCAGACAGATCTGAGTTCCCAGGTTCAAATCCCAGTCTTGGGACACTTCCTGGGACAGAGACAGCATGGGGAGCCTGGTGGCGTGGGAATCGTGCACACTTTGCTAAAGGCCCAGGATAGGCTTCCTGGAAGTGGAGCATGGGATCTGGGTTTTGTAGGATGAGTAGGAGTTCGGTGGAGCCCTCAGAAGAACTGAACTCCAGGCAGAGCATGCTTTGTAGGCCGAGGTGTAGAGATGAGCAATGTCACGATGATCTGGGGTGTGTTCATTTCTCACAGGGCATTGCGCCAGGGGTTGGGGAGGGCAGAAGAAAAGGCAGGAAGGTTCCAGTGCAGGGCAGAGGCTAAGATCAGTGCTTCAGCATGGGGAGTTCTGATGGCCAAGCCCTGCACAGTGAGCACTTTGAGGTGAGTCTATGGTCATGTGAGCGAGGCCCAGGCATCTGCAGAGGGGCGATGGGATTATAATCAGGGATTTTTCTTTTCTTTTCTTGCTCTGTCACCCAGGCTGGAGTGCAGTGGCGCAATCTCAGCTCACTGGCACCCACCACCACACCCGGTTAATTTTTTGTACATTTCGTAGAGACTGGGTTTTACCGTGTTATCCAGGATGGTCTCGATCTCCTGACCTCGTGATCCACGGCCTCAGCCTCCCAAAGTGCTGGGATTACAGGCAGGAGCCACCACGCCCGGCCATGATCAAGGGTTTCTAATATAAAATTAGCAGGGCGTGGTGGTGGCACCTGTGGTCCCAGCTGTTCAGGAGGCTGAGGTGGGAGGATTGCTTGAGCCCAGGAGGTGGAGGCTGCAGTGAGCCATGAGCCACTGCACTCTCCAGCCTGGCCGATGGAGGGAGACGCTCCCCAGCCTCTTGCAGTCCTGGGGGACTGTATTTGCCCTGGGCCTAGGGAAGGGGCTAAAAATAGACCCCCTTCCTCCTGCCAGTCTAAGAAAGGATGAGGCTGTGGCTAAGGGTCAGTGACCACCCTTGGAGCGTGGCCAGTGAGCCTGCCTTGGGGACCACAGCATGTGTGCAAGTACTCGTGCCTGTGGCAGGGAGGTCTGGAGCCATGTCTGGGCCACACTGCGTGCCACGGACTCCTCAGGGGACGGCGAAGGTTTGGATGACGTTTCCTCCCTCACCCGTGGCTCGCTGCCACGTGCACTGAGTGTGTGCACAGGCGGTCTGTGGGGCCGTGAACACTGGTCAGGGTGCTACTCGCAGGTGCCCAGCATCCGTCACTGGATGTGCTTTGGTGTGGCAATAATGGTGATCGCGGCAACCGGTCCCAATCATGATCTGCAAGGTCCCAGGATCGCTCCCTTCTGCAGATCCTCTCACAGTTTGATTTTCGCAACATACTGACGAGGAAAATAAGGCTTAGGATAAATGACTTGGCCAAGGTCACCGGCTCACAAGAGGCCCTGCTGGATTTAAACGTGGTCCAACGCTGAGCGCCTCCCTTAAGCATGGGACTTGCCAACAAGCCCAGGCACTGGCTCAGGGCCTAGTCGCTCTTGTTACTCTTACTTTATGTACAGTTTTTTTTTGGAGACTCCGTCTTGCTCCGTTGCCCAGGCTGGAGTGCAGCGGCACGATCACAGCTCACTGCAGCCTCAACCTCCCGGGCTCAAGTTATCCTCCCCGTTCAGCCTTCTGAAGAGCTGGGACCCCAGGTGCCTGCCAGCATGCCTGGCTAAGTTTTAAATTTTTAGTAGAGACAGGATTTCACTGTGTTGCCCATGCTGTTCTCAAAGCCCTGAGCTGAAGTGGCCCTCCTGCCTCGGCCTCCGAAAACGCTGGGATCACGGTTGTGTACCAGCACACTCAGCCTAATTACGTCCAGTTCCAGCAAACCCATGAGCTGGTTCTCCAGCCCACACCTGCGCAGAGGTTAGGGGGCAGAGGGGACTGCAAACAGCAGCAGAGCAGAGCACGCAGGAAGCACTTCGACTGTGAGGAGACTGAAGAGCTGGTTGAGACAGTCAGAGCAGGGACCTGAGGCCACTCAGTTCAGGCAGCCACAACTCAGGGCCCCCGGGATGACCACTCCGAGATGGGGCTGGGGTGGCCTCTGACCTGGCGGGAGTGTCTCGGGGCCAACAGGGGCACTGATGCCGGGAGGTGGGACGGGCACTGCCTTCGGAGTCACTCCCAGCACTCTGGGTTCCTCTCCCCAGCACCACCTCAGGACACCAGCCCGGGCCCCATCTACTTCTTGGACCCCAAAGTCACACGCTTTGGCCGCAGCTGCACCCCTGCCTACTCCATGCAGGGCCGGGCCAAGTCTCGGGGTGAGTACCCCATGCAGCCGCACGAGGACCTGCTTTCCAGGGTGTCAGCGACTCTCCTGCCCTGTCCTCCCTCTCCCTCTTATCCTTGGAGTTCTTCGAATGCCAGTGTCTTTGGAGTGATCAAATCCAAGGGACACGGAGGAGGGGCCGCCATTCCAGTGCCCACAGGGGCTGGGGGAACTGAATGAGTGAAGTGGGTCAGGGTCACGGAGGCCCTGGGCACACACGACCACAGGGGCAGCTGGCCATGGTGTCAGAAGGTGAGAGGTGAATGGGGATTGTGGCAAATCGGCAATGTCCTTCACAGGCACCCAACAGCTTGCCTGCACACCTGAGGCACCTGCCTGACTCCATTCTCCCATCCATCTGCCCACCCATCCATCCATCCATCCATCCATCCATCCATCCATCCATCCATCTACCCACACACTCATCTATCCACCCATCCACCCACCCACCCATCCACTCATCTATCCACCCATCCACCCACCCACCCATCCACTTATCTGTCCATCCTTCCACCTATTCATCCATCCATCCATCCATCCATCCATCCATCCATCCATCCATCATCTATCCACCCATCTACCCATCCATCCACCCTCCATCATCTATCCACTCATCCACTCACTCATCCATCCACCCACTCATTTGGCCACCTACCTACCCACTCATCTATGAATCCTTACTTTTTTTCCTTCTACCCATCAACCGTTCCATCCATCCGTCCATCCATCCATCCATCCATCCATCCATTTACAAATCCCTTCATGAACCATTCACTCCTCACTCAACCACTCACCTGCTACCTATCCCGTTCACCCATTAACTCAAACAGTCAATTACTGGAGAGTTGGAGTAGATCTGACATTCCTTCCTTTCTATGAGATCTCAGTCTGTGGGGTGGTTACATCCAGTGCAGACCATCCCACCTCAGTGTGCTCACGTCTGGAGAGAGGGGAAAACCCAGGCTGAGGGGCTCGAGAAGAGCTGTGAGGGCTCTACCCTGGAGGGTATGGGGAAGGCAGCAGGGAAGAGGGGTGGAAAATGAAGGCATGCTTGGCCCTGGGTCCAGCTTGGGCAAAGTCCTAGAGGCTTGGAAAACAGACTGTGTGTATGGAGGATGGGGAAGGGAGAGAAATGCGCCTGGGTTACTTGAGAAGCGTTGTGAGCTCCAGGGTGCATGCGGGCAATGGGGAGCCATGCCCGGTCTCTGAGCAGGGGAGGACGTCGGTGCCACCCTTCCTTCCCCACTCTCTCAGGTCTGGAGGTGACACCGGGCCCTGGGGCCTACAGCCCAGAGAAGGTGCCCCCTGTGCGCCATCGGACACCGCCAGCTTTCACCCTGGGCTGCCGCCTGCCTCCTAAGCCCCTGGACACCTCAGCCCCTGCCCCAAATACCTACACCATGCCCGCTCTGTGGGGCTCACAGATCTTCACCAAGCCCAGAAGCCCCAGCTACACGGCAGCGGGCCGCACACCCCCTGTCCGCCCCCCGCAGGATCCTGCCGAGATACCAGGCCCGGGCCAGTACGACAGCCCGGACGCCAACACCTACCGCCAGCGCCTGCCCGCCTTCACCATGCTGGGGCGGCCCCGGGCCCCGCGCCCCCTGGAGGAGACCCCCGGCCCAGGCGCCCACTGCCCAGAGCAGGTCACTGTGAACAGAGCCAGGGCTCCAGCGTTCTCCATGGGCATCCGCCACTCCAAACGGGCCAGCACCATGGCCGCCGCCACGCCCTCCAGGCCTTCGGGGCACAGGCTGCCGGGCCGCAGCTGCTAGGCCAGGCTTGTTCCCCACACGGTGAACGGGGGCATGGGCTGGCCTCTCCTGGGGCCTGGCTTTTGTTGGAGGGGCTAGGAGAAGCCGAGAGGGACTGGGAAAGGAGTGTTCCCTCCCCTTTCCTGAACTGTCCGGATCCTTCTAGGACACCTGATCCTTCCAGTCTCTGGGGGCTATGACCCGTGGCCCTCTGCGGGGTGCAGGGTGAGTCTCCTTCCAGTGCCCCAGTTTCTTCCAGTTTCTTCCAGGTCACACCAGGCCAGGCCAGGCCAGGTGGGGAAAGGGACACCTTCCGGCCCTCCCCAGTAGCTGGCTGGAGACGGAGCTTCCTGTGTCCTAGAACTCGGCGTCCAGCCCCACCAGGGCCTGGGTCCTCATCACAGCTTGGGTTTCTGCCACATTCACACTCTTCCTTGTCTCATGGAAATGTGGCCACCAGCCCCGGTCCCAGCCCAAGCTCAGGCTGGAGGCAGCCCTGAGGCCTGTGCGTTTCCCACTCCACCTTCTACAGTTGCTTAGCCAATAAACCTCTCCCGGGCCGCAAAGCTGTCAGCATCACACCGGCTGGCTCATTTAATGTGTCTATTGACGTCACAGAAAGGAGACACGAATGCTGCCCTCCAGAGCCAGACCCATAGCCCTCCGGTGCCCAGGGGGTCTGAGAGACCAGAAGAGAGACCCAGGGCGAGGGGAGGCTGGAGGTGGAGCCAAGCTTTTGAGCAGGGAGCCAGATAGGCTTCCTGGAAGAGGGAATATTAAAGCGGGGTTTTGAAGGATGTATGGGAGCTCGATGTATTCTAATATCTGCCATTGGTAGCTGCTTGCCATGTTTTGGATATTAATAAAGATCATCTATGCTTCATAGCAACTCGGGACCAGGTGGCATTTACTGAGAGGAAATGGTGCTTTGGGGAGACCGGACATTTGTCCTGGGGCGTGCTGCGAGCACCCGCCTCAGTCTGATGTCAGGATTTGAACCCTGGACGTTGGGCTCAGTTCCTGCCACTGTCTCCTAGGAATAGGAAGGAAACACACTGGTGGTGCCCTGTGACTGAGCCCTCTGTGTGCCAGGGAAGGATGGCACCGGGACCACCATACAAACCTCCCTAATCCGGAGCTCGGGAGGGTGGGACGCTGCCCTGGGACCTCTCCAAGGGATGCCGCCCGGGAGGCACGCAGGGCACAGAGAAGGGGTGGTGGGGCCGCCCTCTCCACCCTACAGCCCTCAGCCTGGGGCCGCCAAACCTCACCCATCCTTCACCCACTGGGTGAACACACCCCAGGACCCTGCAGCCTGGATCCCCTGCATATGTCTGGACACGCGCCCAGACACGGCGTCCCCCCCGCACACAACACACACAGCGCGCGCAGGTCCAGCCGCGGCTCGACCCCGACCCATCGCGCCCACGATCCACTCCTCCCGCGGACGCGCAGGGGCAGAGACGGCCAATCGCGGCCGCGCGCCTCCCTCCCCTCCCCGCCTCCCCGGGCCCCGGGCGGCGCCGGCTGTGAGCTCATCCTCTGATTTATCGATCGGGCTCCGGGCGGCCTCGCCCCCCCTCCCCACCTGCCGGCGCGTCCCGGCCCCTCCCTTTGTTCCCGGCAATCGGCCCTGCTTGGGGCGGGGCAGGGGCTGGGGTGCTCCGGCCAAGTCGGGCCAGGAGGCTGGGTCCCGGGGTGACAGTGACACCCCGTTTTCTGGTGCAGAAGGAACCGACCCTTGAGGGAAGGTGCGGCCGGTCTCGGATAGGCTGAGGCTGGGGACGGAGCGGCCGGCCTGGGGCCCAGAGCTCAGATGAGCTGGTGCAGGACTGGGCTCCCCAAAAGTGAGAGAGGAAGGGCCGCGACCCTCCAGCCCGCTCCCCTGGGTTACACCCGGAGAAGCTGAGGCCGGGACCGGCCGCAGAGCAGGGGCCTGGCTCCGCTCCTAGCACCCCCTCCCAGAGCCGGCACTCCTGGGTCTAAGCCTCCGCCGTGCGCCCTCGGCCGCGCCCCTTCCCCTCCCCGGGCCTCAGTTTCCCCACTAGGAAATAGGGGTGACCCTGAGGTATCCTCTAGCTGGAACAACGGAGAGGGAGGGGCTGACCTTAGGGTCTGGGGTTCTCTTTTCCCTGGCCACGCCTCCCCGGGCCTCAGTTTCCCCCTTAGTCAACGGCAAAGAAGGGAGGTGATTTCTAGGCCTCTCCAGCTCGGTCCTTCTGGGAACTTGGGCGGCGGGCGGGGGTGGGGGGCGCAGTAGGGAGGGTCGCTGACGGGGTTCTGGGTTCAAAGCCCCGTCCCGCCTTGGCTGCGGGTTCCAGGCCAGCGCCCAGTGTCCTCAGAGGGCCTCAGTTTCCCCAGCCTCGCGGCCAGGAGGCCGGGACGAGGAGGGCCGGGGTCCCAGGGGCGCAGCCCCCCGCGGCTGCGCGCTGGGCCGGGCGATGACATCACCGGGCCGGGGGCGGGAGGGAGCGGGCGGAGCGGGAGGGCCTCCTCCGCGCCAGGCGCAGCGCCCGGTCGGGCTCCGTCGGGCGGCCGCGGCCATGACGCAGGGTCCGGGCGGGCGCGCGCCCCCGGCGCCCCCCGCGCCCCCCGAGCCCGAGGCGCCCACCACCTTCTGCGCGCTGCTGCCCCGAATGCCGCAGTGGAAGTTCGCGGCCCCGGGCGGCTTCCTGGGTCGCGGTCCGGCGGCGGCGCGGGCGGCTGGGGCCTCGGGGGGCGCAGACCCCCAGTCCGAGCCGGCGAGCCCGGGGGGCGTCCCGGCGCTGGCGGCCGCTGTCCTGGGCGCCTGCGAGCCCCGCTGCGCGACGCCCTGTCCCCTGCCCGCGCTCAGCCGCTGTCGGGGCGCGGGGGCGCGGGGGCCGCGGGGCGCGCGGGGGGCGGCCGGGTCCGGGGACGCCGCCGCCGCCGCCGAGTGGATCCGGAAGGGCAGCTTCATCCACAAGCCCGCGCACGGCTGGCTACACCCCGACGCCAGGGTCCTGGGGCCTGGGGTCTCCTACGTCGTGCGGGTGAGTCCCCCCCACCCCCCCGCCGGGAGCCCGTGCGCGGCGGCCTCCCCTCCCCCACCCTTTCCTCCGGGACCCCCGGACCCCGCGAGCCAGGTGCCCCCTCCCCATCCTTCCTGCTCTCCCGCCACCCCGGACCCCCATCTCCAGCCGGCGCCCGGCGGCCGCCCCCACCCGGAGGCGCTGGGGTCCGGGTTCCCACGGCGTCACGTGGGGAGGGGCGGGGAGAGGCCGGCGGGGGAGGGGCGCGCATGCGCGGGTGCACCCCCCCATTGGGCGGACAAGGCCCAGAGCGGCGAGCGGCCGGGGTGTCTCTGCCGCCGGAGCCCCCTGGACAGCTGTTCACGGACGACAGACGGGGCCCCAGACCCTGGCCTGCGGGGGGGGGGTGCGGGAAGGGGTGTTTGGAAGGGGGCTGGCGCCGGGACAGACCCCAGGATTCCAGATGGGAGGCTGCAGGGACTTCCAGGGTGGCCAAAGAAGCGGCCTTTGTTTATTTATCCTGGATCTTAGGATAAATGAACCTTTTCAAACACACGGGGAAGGCGGGCGCGTGGACACAGCGCGCCTCCATCTAGGACTGTAACCTTCACCTCTGCTGACGGGTCTGCCCTCTCTGTGGTTTTTGATAAACCCTGTGAAGTCACCTGCAGGGGTGACAGGGCCTTGCATAGTCCCCCGCCTTTTGAGAGAGCGGCTGTCCTACAGCTGCAGTCATTACGGTGTCTGGGAAAATGATCGGCCATTCCCGCACGCCCCTGCTGGTGGGGCAGTGCTCCCCGCTCCCAGCTGGCCTCTGCAGCCAGGACCATTAGCCTGTGTTCCCATTGGGTTGTGTCTTTGTTTTTCTGGACGCTGAGTTCAGTGGGGTCCCTCCCCCTACGCTGGGTTCAGTGGGGTCCCTCCTCCTACCCTGGGTTCAGTGGTGTCCTTCCCCTACGCTGGGTTCATTAGGGTCCCTCCTCCTACACTGAGTTCAGTGGGGTCCTCCCCCCTACACTGAGTTCAGTGGGGTCCTTCCCCCTACACTGGGTTCATTGGGGTCTTTCCCTTAGGCTGAGTTCAGTGGGGATCCCTCCCCCTAAGCTGGGTTCAGTGGGGTCCTTCCCTTACGCTGAGTTCAGTGGGGATCCCTCCCCCGACGCCGGGTTGAGTGGGGATCCCTCCCCCTACGCTGGGTTGAGTGGGGATCCCTTCCCCGACGCCGGGTTGAGTGGGGATCCCTCCCCCTACGCTGGGTTGAGTGGGGATCCCTCCCCCTACGCTGGGTTCAGTGGGGTCCTCCCCCTACGCTGAGCTGAGTGGGGTCCTCCTACAATTCATGTACCATAGGAGTCTGACCTTATTTGGAAATGGGGTCCTTGTGGATGTAATCTCGTTAAGATGAGGCCTGGCTGGATCAGGGTGGGTCTTTGTAAGGAGAAGGAAATTTAGACTCAGACGCACAGAGGAGCAGGCCGTGAGGAGACAGAGGCAGAGGTGGGGGCCACGGGGTCTCAAGCCAGGGCCCAACAAAACCTGCGGGAGCCCCCAGAAGCTGGCTGTGAAACCTCCCCTCCTCACGTGTGGTCTGGGGGCCTGGGATTGTCAGCCTCAGGAGCCCTCGGCCTGCGGCGTACAACCGGCTTCTGCCTCCCTGGACCCGCTTCCTCCTCCCCGGGACCCGCTTCCTCCTCCCTGAACCCGCTTCCTCCTCCCCGGGATCCACTCCCAGGAGGCGACGTTGAAGCTGAGCCGTGGAAGCCGCGGCTGTTGGGATTGCAGACAGAGTTCTGGGCAGGACACAGCAGGTGCAAAGGCCGGAAGCCGTGGGGATTGCAGACAGAGTTCTGGGCGGGACACAGCAGGTGGAAAGGCACAGTAGGAGCCGACCTGGCGCGTGTATGTCACCCCAAGGAGAGCCGCAAGGCCAGAGCTGGAGAGGGAGGACTCTCTGTGGGCTGTGGCGAGGAGCAGGGGTGGTTTTAAGTAGGAGGACAGTGCAGAGTGTGCAGTTTTGAAGGCCCCGGGGGCCTTGCGGAAGTGGCGCTGAGGGAGGAGGAGGGTCTGGAAGGCAGCAGAGACGCGGGAGGAGGCTGCGACGGATGGCGGTGGCCCAGGCCAGGGGACCTAGGTGAGGGGAGAAGTGGACAATGAACCTGTTGGAGCCCAGAGGAGTTGCTCATGGACGAGGGGCCCCAACCCCAGGGAGCTTGACCGGCCTCAGCCGCCAGTACTGTCCCCCGGGAGCCCCGTCCCCCGTCACCTATGTCATGGCGGGCACAGGGACAGCCAGTCCCTCCTGGTCACAGGGAAACCTGAGTTGAGGAGGAGGAGAGCCAAGCCCCATCAGCTGGGGGCTGCGGCCCGTGGCTCAGGCCCTCGGGGCTTTTCCACGCTGGAGGGTCCCTGTGCGCTGAGGGAAACTGAGGCACAGAGAGGCAGAGCTGTGTCTGAGGTTATGCAGTGAAAAGCAGGACCAGAACCCGGGGCTGAAGGTCCTGCTGTGGGAGCCAGACAACATTCTGAGAGCACGCATCATGTACGCACCGGTGTGAGGTACAGCAACAGCCCCCGTGTCCACATCCAGCCCTCGGATTCTGCAAAGGTGCCCCTCACACAGCGACAGGGGACCTGCCGGTAGGATCGAGTGAAGGACCCTGAGACGGGATGATTTGGGGGCCCGGTGTCCTCGCAGCGGGGGGTGAGAGTCGGAGAGAGACCGGAAGAGGCTGCAAACGGGGAGGAAGGAGCCCCCAGCGGAGGGATGTGGGTGCCTCGGAACGCTGGGAAAGGCAGAGCAGATGAGGGACCAACTCCGCCCACACCTTGATTTTAGACTTCTGACCTCTAAACCTAAGCGGATTAGCTTGTGTTGTTTCGAGCCACTCAATTTGTGGTAATTGGTGACAGCAGTAAGAGGGAGTGGATGGGCTGGGCCACTCACCAGGCATCACAGAACCCCCACAGAACCCTGCAGCGATCCCGGTGTGTGGGTGAGAAGTTGGACGCTGGACCGGCAGTGGTGTGGGCCCCGCGTCCGAGCACCATGGGCAGCATCGTTGCAAATGCAGGGCCTCGGGCGCTGAGTCCTGCGCGGTGCTCAGAGTTCCGTGGAGCCCCGGGTTCCATTCTCCCCACAGCCCTGGGACGTCCACCCATTTTACAGATGAGGCGGCTGCGGCACAGCGGGTCAAAGAGCTGCCCGAGAGCCTCCCCTGGGTCACAGCACTGGTGAGGCCTTCGGGGCCGTCACCACAGACCTGACTTGGAGCCGCCGGGCACCAAAGGGACCTGGAGAAGAACCCGGGGTCGGCGGCTCAGTGACTTTGTCCCGGCTGCGGGTCATTGTTATCCCCGCGAAATTCTTGCCAACCTGGAACCCCAGAATGGGGCCTTCTGTGGAAACAGGCTCTCTGCAGGTGTCATTAAACGAGGTCACGTTGGATTCAGGTCACCCTGACCCGGTGACCGCTGTCCTGACGAGAAGCCGCGTGAAGGCGCAGAGAGAAGGACACGGGACGGGACGAGGGAGGCAGAGACGAGCGACGGGGCCACGGGCCAAGGATGCTGGGGAGCCCTGGCCGCCACCCGCGCGGGGAGAGGCAGGACGGGCCCTCCCCTGCTGCCTCCGGAGGGGATGGGCTTCCGGCCCCGAGGCCTGTGTGAGGAAGCATTTCTGTGGATTTCTGTGGTCTTTTCTTTTTTTTCTTTGAGACAGAGTTTTGCTCTTGTGGTCCAGGCTGGAGTGCAATGGTGCAATCTCAGCTCACTGCAACCTCTGCCTTCCGGGTTCAAGCAATTCTCCTGCCTCAGTCTCCCCAGTAGCTGGGATTACAGGCACGCGTCATCACGCCCGGCTGATTTTGTTTGTATTTTTAGTTTTATTTTTAGACGGGGTTTCACCCTGTTGGCCAGGCTGGTCTTGAGCTCCTGACCTCAGGTGATCCGCCCGCCTCGGCCTCCCAAAGTGCTGGGGTTACAGGCGTGAGCCAGCGCATCTGGCCCGTTTCTGTGGTCTTAAGCCCTGTTTGTGGGGATCTGTTCAGGCAGCCACAGGAGACCGTGCTTCCCGGGGGCCGCCGCTGGTCTCGGGTCAGTTCCTCCCCTGGCTGAAAGGCGGTGGCTCTGGTTCGGCAGAACAGGGTCCCCTGTCTCTGTGGGGCTCTTTTGTGAATGGGGACATCGTTCCTGGGAATCCCCCGCCGACTTTGCCGTGGTTCTCATGAGCCCAGCCCGGCACTGCCCAGCAGAATCGTCCGTGTCTGCACCGTCCAGCGTGGCTGCCGCGAGTCACGTGAGCAGCTGGGCCTTGAGGTGTGGCCTGTGCTTCGGTGCTAAGTTAATCTTACCTGACTTTAAACTTAAGTGGCCCCAGGCGGGAAGCAGCTGCCCTGCTGGACGGCTCGTCTGGATGAATCTTCATGCCTGATCCTCGAGCCTCACCTGAAGGCGTAGACCTGAGCAAAATGGGTCTCTGTTGAGAAAGACGCAGGGATTGTCTTGTGGAGAGGCCAGAGTCCGTGCCAAGGTCTGTGGACACTGACCCCGCGTTCCTCCCACACATACCTTTTTGGCGCTGGGCTCGTCCGCACACAAAAGTCCCGCGTGTCAGGTCGTCCTGCTGTCTGTGGTGCCCTCATGCACCTCATCTCGTGAGCGCTTCAGGGAGAGTTTCCTGTGTGTGTCCGCCTCTGCTCCTGGTGCACGGAGCCCAGGCCCGGCAGGGGATGGACGCAAACTGGGACACGGTCGGCGAAATGACACTTCATCCTTCCCGCATCGTGGGCGCCCTACGCTGGGACGTGCAGGGAATTGTGAGAGGGTGACTAGAGTTGAGATGGTTCAGCTCCAAATGCAACTTTTCCTTGAAGGCGAGGGTTCAGTTGTGGCCAGTTGACACGGTGGATGAATCCCATGGCTTGACAGCATCCCTGAAGATCTGGGTTCTGGCCGGGCACGGTGGCTCACGCCTGTAATCCCGGTATTTTGGAAGACCAAGGTGGCAGGATCACTTGAGCCCA